CACAGGCACCCGCCACAGTGCCCGGCTATTTTTTGGTTGCAGCCGTCATTGTTGTTTGGCGGGTCCGGGCTGGGGATTCGAGCCCGCCACCTTAGGTGTACGTGGCTGGCGCCTTAGCTGGTTGAGCTATAGGCGCTGAGCCAGTCTTTCTATTTTTAATAGAGATAGAGTCTCACACTTGGTTAGGCTGTCCTTGAACTCCTAAACTCAAGCAATCCACCTGCCTTGGCCTCCCAGAGTGCTAGGATTATAGATGTGAGCCATGGCACCTGGCCAATGAATGTGCTCTTAATGTCCATCACCTTTTAATTCCCAATGACTTTGCTTCCGGGTCTTGGCTATCTAAGGAAAGAGGCCTTCAGTAGGGATATGGAGAATGCTTTTGTGCAGTCTTCTCACAGGCCAGTCCTCTCTGGCACGCAACCTCAATGTCACATCCTTCCACACATAGGGGATGTGTCTATAAAAGGAGGTCCTTAGTTGGGAGTTTTTAAGGTATACCAGTGGTACTCCATGAACTAAAACACCTCTGGGGGGGTGCTTTATCTGGCTCTCCATCAGGCAGAAACCCTGCGAATCTTATCCAGCTAGGCAGTGGCAGGTGACAGACAACCAACATCTCCCAAGTGAGTTTGAAAGGATCTTGTTACCTAGGATCCTAAGGGGGTTGTAGCCTTGGGAACTGTAAGGATAATTAACTCAGTGACTCTTCAGTTTTAGATACAATTTATTGTAGGCACTGCGGCCTGCTAGTCACCAGACCACACTCAAAACACACTCCTTCTCCTGGAAACGCCTGTGGCTGTTCCATCCCTGAGGGTGTGTGAGAGAACTGGCTGGGGCTCTCCAAACAGACCATGTGCTGGACTACCTCTGGTTTCTGTTTCCTGGGACTCCAATTAGCAAGTGCAGTGCAAGGCGACCCAGAAGGTGTGGCTATGGCTCACAGGATGGCTGGGGAGCCAGGTGAGTACCTTTTGTTTTTTTTTTTCACTGCATGTATTTATCAGTAAAAGGAACATATAGAGAGCTTTTTTTTTTGAGACAGGGTCTCACTTTGTCTCCCTGGTGGGTGCCTGTAATCCCAGATACTTGGGAGGCTAAGGCAAAAGGATTGCTTGAGCCTAAGAATTTGAGGTTGCTATGAGCTATGATGATGCCATGGCATTCTAGGGATAGAGTGATTTGCTGTCTAAAAAAAAAGATAATTTGTCAAATTGGACCTTTGCCTGCTAAGATCGTTAAATAAACTGGTTTAAACATTAAGGGCATTGATTGGCTCATGAAAATGCAAGTCAAGAAAGAAGGCAGGCTTTGGCATCAGCTCACTCCAGGGCCTCCAGCTCTGGTCTCTTGCAATTCCTTCAGCCAGGCCATCATCTGCATTCTCAGGCAGTTTCCATTACGGTGAAGAAATGGTTAACATGCTGGCAGAATTGCTGGTTTCACATCTGCACAGCAATTCCCCTGAGGAAGGAAATACATTGTCTTTTCAGCTCTCTTTTATTTTTTTTTATACTTTATTTATTTTTTGAGATAGAGTCTCACTTTGTGGCCCTTGGTAGAGTTCTGTGGGTGTTATTGCTCACATAGCAACCTCAAACTCTTGGGCTCAAGTGATCCTCTTGCCTCAGTCTCCCAGAGTAGCTGGGATTATAGGCACCCACCACAACACTAGGCTGTTTTTAGAAATTAGAGATGGGTCTCCTGCTTGCTCAGGCTGGTCTTAAACTCCTGAGCTCAAGTGATCCACCTAACCTCAGTCTTCCAATGTGCTAGGATTACAGCCATGAACCACCATATCTGGCCTCTTTAAAAAAATATATATCCTTTCTTTTTTTTTTTTTTTTTTTCTGAGACAGAGTCTCACTCTGTTTCTCTGGGTTGAGTGTCATGGGGCCATAGCTCACAACTTCAAACTCTTGGGCTCAAGTGACCCCCTTGCTTCAGCCTCCTTACTAGCTAGGACTGCAGGTGCCTGTCAGGATGTCAGGATGCCCACTAGTTTTTCTATTTTTGGTAGAAATCGAGTCTCACTCTTGCTCAGGCTGGTCTCAAACTCCTGAGCTCAAGCGATCCTTCTGCCTGGACCTTCCAGACTGCTAGGATTACAGGTATGAGCCACCTCACAGACTTTACTTTTTTTTTTTTTTAGCTGTTTCACTTTGTAAGTTGCACAGAGGTTTATCAAGTTTAAATGATTGTGCTGCTCCTTCACATCAAAGTATGGAGAACCACTGACAATGAAGGCCTGGCTGCCTCGACCATCTGCTTTTCAGGCTGGCAGAGAAGGAAAACAACTTGCTTGTTGGTTAAGGAAGAAGCGTGGTGGAAAACAGTGAAATATGGAGTAAAACCAAGCTGGCCTATAGTTTCTTGCAGGCTGTGAAATCCAGTTTAATTAGAGTGCCATTTTTTTTCAAAGGATTTTAATTATTGGAATGCACACTTTTTTAAATATGCAAATAAAAAGTTGAAACCTGAAACCTGGGAGCTGGGAGAGGTGGCTCACGCCTATAATCCCAGCACTCTGGGAGGCTGAGGTGGGTGGATTACCTTGAGCACAGGATTTGAGACAAGCCTGAGCAAGATGGAGACCCCATCTCTAAAAATAGCTGGGTATTGTAGCAGGCTCCTGTAGTCCCAGCTACTCTGGAGGCTGAGACAAGAAAATCACTTGAGTCCAAGAGTTAGAGGTTGCCGTGAGCTGTGATGCCACTGCACTCTACTGAGGGCAACAAGTGAGACTCTGTCTCACAAAAAAAGAGCTTTGAAACCTGGAAAAAAAAAAGGAGAAATAGAAAAATTAGCCGGGTAATCTGGTAGGTACCTATAGTCCAGGCATCCTCAAACTGCGGCCCATGGGCCACATGGGGCCCGCCAGGTGTTTTTGCCGCTGCTGCCTGTCCTGCTTAGCAGCCGATTCATCCTAGGGCCCACAGTCCAGCCCTCCAACAATCTGAGGGACAGTGAACTGGCCCCCTGTTTAAAAAGTTTGAGGACCCCTGCTGTAATCTCTAGGGAGCTGAGGCAGGATCGCTTGAGTCCAAGAGTCTATAATTGTTGTGAGCTAGGCTGAGGCTATGGCCTCCAGCCCAGGCAACAGAGTGAGGCTATCTCAAAAAAAAAAAGCTTTTTAAAATGACTGAAAAATTGGCAGTGCCCGCATAGCTAAGTGGGTAGGGCGCCAGCCACATACACCAAGGCTGGTGGGTTTAAACCTCCTCTGGGCCTGGTAAAACAACAATATCAACTGCAACAAAAAAAAATAGCCAGGCATGTGGCAGGAGCCTGCAATCCCAGCTACTTGGGAGGCTGAAGCAAGAGAATTGCTTAAGTCCAAGAGTGAGGTTGCTGTGAGCTATGACACTATGGCACTCTACTGAGGGCGACATAGTAAAACTCTGTCTCAAAAAATAAAATAAAATAAATCTATCTATAATCTCCATATTTTTCTGTGGAAATTCATAGGTAATCCCAAATCAAGAGAAACTATGCTTTTTTTATGTGAATTTAAAATGACAAATATTTACCAGAGGCTTAACTAAAACTACAGTGGTCTTTGGTCTGTTAACAAGTGACCAACAGAAAGCATTTCTTTTCTTTTTTTTTTTGTATTTTATTTATTTATTTTTTATTAAATCATAGCTGTGTACATTAATGCAATCATGGGGTACAACGTTCTGGTTTTATATACAACTTGAAATATTTTCTTTTTTTTTTTTTTTTGAGACAGAGCCTCAAGCTATCCCCCTGGGCAGAGTGCCCTGGCACCACAGCTCACAGCAACCTCCAACTCCTGGGCTCAAGCGAGTCTCCTGCCTCAGCCTCCCAAGTAGCTGGGACCACAGGCGCCCGCCACAACACCTGGCTATTTTTTGGTTGCAGCCGTCATTGTTGTTTGGCGGCCCGGGCTGGATTCGAACCCACCACCTTAGGTGTATGTGGCTGGTGCCTTAGTCACTTGAGCCACAGGCGCCAAGCCAATTTGAAATATTTTCATCAAACTGGTTAACATAGTCTTCAGAACATTTTCTTAGTTATTGTGTTAAGACACTTAGTAAACTTCAAATGTACCCTTGTAAGATGTACCATAGATGTGGTCTCACCAATTACCCTCCCTCTACCCATCATCCCCCCTCCCCACCCCTCCCTTTCCCCTTCTTCTTGGATTATAATTGGGTTATAGCTTTCATAGTAGGGATAAGTACTTTGGATACTTTTTCTTCCATTCTTGAGATACTTTGCTAAGAAGAATATGTTCCAGCTCCATCCATGTAAACATGAAGGAGGTAAAAGTCTCCATCATTCTTTAAGGCTGCATTGTATTCCATGGTGTACATATACTGCAATTTATTAATCCATTCGTGGATCATGGGCACTTGGGCTTCTTCCATGACTTAGCAATTATGAATTGGGCTGCAGTAAACATTCTGGTACAAATATCTTTGTTATAATGTGGTTTTTGGTCTTCTGGATATATACCTACTAGAGGAATTGAAGGATCAAATGGCAGGTCTATTTTTAGATCCCTAAGTGTTCTCCAAACATTTTTCCAAAAGGAACGTATTAGTTTGCGTTCCCACCAGCAGTGTAGAAGTGTTCTTTTCTCCACATCCACACCAACATTTCTGGTTTTGGAATTTTGTGATGTGGGCTAATCTTACTGGAGTTAGATGATATCTCAAAGTTATTTTGATTTGCATTTCTCTGATGATTAAGGATGATGAGCATTTTTTCATATGTCTGTAGGCCACATGGCTGTCTTCTTCAGAGAAGTTTCTCTTTAAGTCCCTTGCCACCTGAGATGGGATCACTTGTTCTTTTCTTGCTAATATGTTTGAGTTCTCTGTGGATTCTGGTTATTAAACATTTTTCGGAGACATAATCTATAAATATCTTCTCCCATTCTGAGGGCTGTCTGCTTGCTTTATTTACTGTGTTCTTGGCTGTGCAGAAGCTTTTTAGTTTGATCAGATCCCAGTAATGTATTAAAAATATGAAATGCTCCATGAATTTGTGTGTCATCCTTGTGCAGGGGCCATGCTAATCTCTGTATCATCCCAATTTTAGTATATGTGCTGTAGAAGCGAGCACACAAAGTATTTCTTTATGAGTTATTTGTCAAAGTCCAATAACTAACACTGCATTCTATACAGCAGGCAGTATGCCACTTACCTGAACTGATGTTTTCTTAGAAAAGCTTTTCAAAACTCTGGCCATAGAAACAATGCATCTAGAAGTCGCCTATAGCTTTAAACGACTGCACGGAGTTATAAACTGAATGAGTTATGGTGTCATGCCAAAGGAGAGTGGACACTAAAGTGTGTTAAAGGGGATCAAATAATCTTTAACCCAGTGACTGCTGAGCATGGAGACAGGGCTATCACTGGCTAGTCCTTTTTCCTTTCTTCTCAGTGTTTGGCTGGTAGCCACAGGCTGGGTGTTTACCTGCCCCATTTATGCCTCTGCTCAGAAAGAGGTGGAGCTGCTGCCTGCTGAGGGTTCCATGGGGGAAGGGCAACCAGGCCTTCTCCAGACTCAGGAGCAGCCCTGCCCTAGGCCCGGACAGGTAGCTGGGATGAGGCCATGATAAGGAGTATCAGAAGATCACACAGCAGTCAGGAGACCCTGGCAACCTTGGCCAGCCTTTCTGAGAGCTGCAGCTGGCTCTATTCAATCTTCAGGAAGCAGCAGGGCCCCATAACCACGGGTCCTCATCAGGACTTTTCTCTATCCCATTAGGATCACAGCAAGTATCAGGCAGTGGAATTGGCAGATCTTCCAGTCCACCCCATGAATTCAATTTACTTTGGTTTTTAATAAAATTCAAAAAAGGTTGGGTGGGCGGTGCCTGTGGCTCAGTGAGTAGGGTGCTGGCCCCATATACCGAGGGTGGCGGGTTTGAACCCAGCCCCAGCCAAACCGCAAGAAAAAAATAGCTGGGCAAGGGGCAGCACCTGTGGCTCAAAGGAATAGGGTGCCGGCCCCATATACAGGAGGTGACAGGTTCAAACCCAGCCCCCAGCCAAAAAAAAAAAAAAAAAAAAAAATAGCTGGGCGTTGTGGCAGGCACCTGTATTCCCAGCTATTTGGGAGGCTGAGGCAAGAGAATTGCCTAAACCCAAGAGCTGGAGGTTGCTGTGAGCTGTGATGCCATGGCACTCTACCGAGGGTGACAAAGTGAGACTCTGTCTCTAGAAACAAAACAAAACAAGACCAAAAAAGATTGGGTGCCACAGCTCAGTAGTTAGGGTGCCAGCCATGTGCACTGGGACTGGTGAATTTGAACCCGGCCCAGGCCTGCTAAAACAAAACAAATAGCTGGGTGTTTTGGTGGGTGCCTATAGTCCCAGCTACTAGGGAGGCTAAGGCAAGAAAATCACTTAAGCCCAAGACTTTGAGGTTGTTGTGAGCTATGATGCCACAGCACTCTACCAAGGGTGACAAATTGCATATTGGTCCATATAGACCAACTTAATTATTTTTTTTAACTAATGGGAAATACTCCTTAGAGTTTGTCAGGAGAAATATCTTAAAAAGTTGTGACCCCTGAATCAGAAAAAGCCAAGAAAGACATTTAAAAAACAATTCAGTTCAATCTCCCCCTACACAAAAATTTTTGTGTAGGAAAAATCTCAAACACTCTTGTACAGTAAATCCCCGTATACTCTCCACTAGAATTGGTGATTGTTACTACTCTCATTGGCTGTCATTTAATATTTGCTAGAGTTGTGTGGCTCTAAGATGAGAAATACACAAAAAGAAGCAGAATTCATCAAGTTTCAAGTTCTTAAGGATTTGGAAGAATGGCTTGACACCCATAGCACCCATAGTGATTATAGCGCCAGCCATATACACCGAGACTGACAGGTTCGAACCCAGCCTGGGCCAGCTAAACAACAATGACAACTGCAAGAAAAAATAGCCAGGCATTGTGGCAGGCACCTGTAGTCCCAGCTACTGGGGGGGCTGAGGCAAGAGAATTATTTGAGCCCAGGAGTTTGAGGTTGCTGTGAGCTCTGACACCATGGCACTCTTACCGAGGGTGACATAGTGAGACTCTGTCTCAAAAAATAAATAAATAAAAGCTGGAGCACAATTTTAAAAAAAGAATTTGGAAGAAAAGACATTTAAGAGCCAAAGAATGTAAAATCCACTCAAGTGATTGATGTGCATTGAAGGTGCAGATTTCTATAAATAGAAGGAAAATTAGGATTATTAATGTAATTGCTAACGTAATGTGGGCTAAATGTTTACCATTTCCTTTTCTTTCTTTTTTTTTTTTTTTTGCAGTTTTTGGCGGGGGCTGGGTTTGAACCCACTACCTCTGGCATATGGGGCCGGCGCCCTACTCCTTTGAGCCACAGGCGCCGCCCCAGCCATTTCTTGACATTAAGGAATAACTTCGTATAAATTAGAGTTTTGTGAGTTCTACGTGGATGTAATTTCTGGTAGCTGTGCAACTTAGATAGCAAAATCTCCAAATGATGTGGAGTGATATATGTAGGTCACTATGAAAGTTTTGAGACAGACAGTATTATGGTTTTTACTTCACTTCCAAGGAAACACGGCTGACAGCTTCCTTTCTGATTCGCCTATGCAAGTTTCAACTTGATCGGCTTATCAGTATTGCTGGGAGGGCTTCATTTGTTTCTTACACATAGATTTTACATTTCTTGATTTTTTGTGTATCTCAAAACTTTTGTAATAACTCATGTATGTATCTCCTTTGCATGAAAAGAAGAATCACTCTTATGTACAAAAATAGGATCTTGCAATCATCTGAAATCTTTTTTTCTAAACTTCACTTAGTAATTATCTGCCTAGAATGTGGGCATCTTTTATATCCAAATGAAAATTTAGAATCAACCTTGGAAATTGGATACTATACATCAGTAAAATTTGGCAAAATATTTCTATACTCAACAGCTAAAATAAATCTTAGAAATATTAATATAGGCTCAGCACTTACAGCTCAACAGCTAGAGTGCTGGCCACATACACCAGGGGTGGTGGGTTTGAACCCGACCTGGGCCTGCCAAACAATAATAACAACTACAACAAAAAAATAACTGGGTGTTGCGGTGGGCACCTGTAGTGCCAGCTACTTGGGAGGCTGAAGCAAGAGAATCACTTAAGCCCAAGAGTTTGAGTTGCTGTGAGCTGTGATGCCATAGCACTCTACTGAGGGCAACATAGTGAGACTGTCTCAAAAAACAAACAAACAACAAAAACAACAACAAAAAACAGGCAGCACCTGTGGCTTAGTGGGTAGGACGCCGGCCCCATACACCAAAGGTGGTAGCTTCAAACCTGGCCCCAGCCAAACTGCAACAGAAAAATAGCCGGGTGTTGTGGCAGGCGCCTGTAGTCCCAGCTACTTGAAAGGTTGAGGCAAGAGAATCGCTTAAGCCCAGGAGTTGGAGGTTGCTGTGAGCTATAATGCTATCACACTTTAACAAGGGGGACAGAGTCACCCTCTGTCTCAAAAAAAACAAAAAAAAAATTAATATAATTTGCAGTGAAGGTAGCTGGTTGCAGAAGACTACAGACAGTATGTTTCCATTTTTATAAAGCTGAAAAATGAACAAATTCAAACAATATATTGTTTGGGAACATGTACGTGCTTGGTAAAACTGTTTTTAAAGTGAATACATTAAAAATTTAGGATAGTGATTACCTTGAAATGTAGGAAGAAGAAGGGTTAGGGATTTGAAAGGTGGGTGGTGGCTTCAAAAGGAATGGCAATGCTCTACCCACCAATTGTTTGGTGGGTTCATGTGTTCATTTTAGTATATGCTTCCAAGCTTACACAGATGTTACTTATATTGTTTCGTATCCATCAAATTTTACATAATAAAATTTTGTAAGTGAAACAATGCTAGATTTCCAAAACAGAATAATGAAATATGTAAAGTTAAAGCCTAAAGAAGAACTAGGGTTTTATATCTGTACTTTTAACTAATTGAATACCCATTTTGAAACCAAAGAAAACCTCTGAATAGTTCATTAAGAAAAATACATTTAATGTATTATATGGTACATGATGTTTATCCAACCATTCTTTTACTGTGTATTTAATTTTAATTGTTTACTATTTTAGACACATAGGAATAAGCATTTTTGAACCTATCTCTTTCAGTACTTGGGTGAGTATTGTTTTTGGAGGTAGATACCTAGGAATGGAGTTTCTGAGTCAAAGGGTGAGGAGGCTCGGCACCTGTGGCTCAAGTGGCTAAGGTGCCAGCCACATACACCTAAGGTGGCGGGTTTGAATCCAGCCCAGGCCCGCCAAACAACAATGACAGCTGCAACCAAAAAATAGCCGGGTGTTGTGGAGGGTGCCTGTGGTCCCAGCTACTTGGGAGGCTGAGGCAGGAGACTCGCTTGAGCCCAGGAGTTGGAGGTTGCTGTGAGCTGTGATGCCATGGAACTCTACCCAGGGAAAAAGCTTGAGGCTCTGTCTCAAAAAAAAAAAAAAAAAAAAAAGGGTGAGGAAAGTGAAATTCAGATCAAGAGAAGTTAAAACCAGCCTGAGCTAGAGCAAGACCTCGTCTCTAAAAGTAGCCAGACGTTGTGGTAGGTGCCTGTTGTCAGGAGGCTGAGGCAAGAGAATCACTTAAGCCCAAGAGTTGGAGGTTGCTAGTAGTTGTGATGCCATGGCAGCCTACTGAGGGCAACAAAGTGAGACTCTGAAAAAATAAAATAAAGGAAAAACTAGTCTGGCATTGTGTCTAGGCCTATAGGCCAAGCTACTGGGGAGGCTGAGGCAAGAGGATTGCTTTAGTGTGGGAGTTTGAGGTTGCCGTGAGCTATAACAGTATGAAGCTAGGGCACTCTAGCCGGGGGCAACACAGTGAGACCCTGTCTTAAAAAAACAAAACAAAAAAACACAACTCAGATCATACAGGCTGCAGGACTTTTTCCAGAGCTCCCAGTAAAGAAAACGCTGGTTCTGTCGAGGTAGGTGCCCCACTTGGCCCTGTGATTTGACTCTTTCCCTTTCTTGTTTGTCCAGCCTGCAGGTGAAGTTCAGTATTGATTTCAGAACCTCAGGACACAGAACACAAGAGCTCCCTGTCATGAAAGGAAGC